AAAGTAACTGTAAATACAGAACCTTCCCTGGGAGGTCCCCTCACCACGTACAGGAATCCATGTCGAGGGGATATAATAAATATTAATTATTTTTAGATTTTACACTTCAAAATAAAGTTGAGAAAAGTTCTTACAAGGTCTGTTTCCTGCAAAGCCACCTTGTCTTCCATCTTGTCTGAAGTTGCTACTATAACCATAATGATTGTTGAATTTATTCAGTCCACGATAGCCAGCTGTATCTGTCATTCAGGAAAGTGAAATTAGTCACTAATCAAACCAGCTAATGAAATCAACAAAAGTACCTCTCTAATTTCCATACAAATTTAACAAGAATAATGGTCTAATGTTAAGCCTATCCATATGTTTTTGGACTTTACAAGTACAGAAAACACAGGTACTATTATAATATGAAGGATATAAAACTTTATGCTACTTTGTCACAAATACAGAAATTGTTCACGTTTACCTTCTTATACATACAATGACAGTTATGCGAAAATCACAACAGCTTTACTGTAGCTATATGTTTTCATTATAAAATGTAGCATGGATTATTAATCTAAACAAGATCGTGAAAAGGAGGGATGGAAGTTTGTCCACTGAAGGTTTTCCTTAGTACACATAACACAGGTTTATTAAAAACTCCACACAGCCAGTTCTACTTAACTTACTAATTCAACCTTTTATTTTTTGCCAACTTGTATCATCTCATGTTTATCTTACGTTATTTCAGAAATAGCTAAAATAGGTCAACTAATTATTAGAAATACTTTATGTACGTCAATTAAAAATCATAAAAAGAAAACACCAATATCAATATTATGCTTTTTTATTACAAGTGTATCCTTGATTTAAAAATAAAGTTAATGCATATTAATTAAGTCCTGTATAAATGACTATAAAGTCAGATAGTTGATAAAAAATATATTTGAAATTTTACTTCCACATTGCTAACCCTCAAGAAACATTTAACTGAAATTAAAAAGATTACTACTATACGTTTATCACTGCTGTAGCTACCACGGCTTCTGCTGTAACCTTCTCGTCCTCGACCACCAAAGTTAGAACCTCTCACTTGTGAATACTTTTCTTAATTTATAAAAATAATGAACTTCATTAAAAAATATACAATTTCAATATTAGCATTTGTGAACAATCTACAAATTAAGGTGTGTTTAGCTCACCAAATAACAAAAAAAAACAAACTTTTATTCCCAATAGTAAGTTACAGTTAAAATTAAAAGTTTTTAAAATCTCAATACAACATAGAAGGGTTAGAAGTTGTATTACACAATTTACATTATTTGTATTGTAAACTACAATACTGAATAATTTCTTCTATTTTATTATTTATACATCTTAATAATAAAAATGTAACTTCATAAAAACATGTCATAAATTGTTTTCTCTTACGATTAAGAGGAAAATACTAATTACAGATGTTTCTATAGAAATATGTCTATCAAACAATTCACACATTTATCTTAGAAAAGTAGCACACAGCTTCATACACCCGACCAGTCTGTCTTGACACAGCCCCATACACCCGACCAGTCTGTCTTGACACAGCCCCATACACCCGACCAGTCTGTCTTGACACAGCCCCATACACCCGACCAGTCTGTCTTGACACAGCCCAATACACCCGACCAGTCTGTCTTGACACAGCCCAATACACCCGACCAGTCTGTCGTGACACAGCCCAATACACCCGACCAGTCTGTCGTGACACAACCTAATACACCCAACCAGTCTGTCTTGACACAACCTAATACACCTTATCAAGAAATACAAGTACCTTGGTATTTAATATCTGATGAAAAGATTGAACCTCCTTCATCCTGTCCACCACCAGAAGTCTGAAGAATATCACATTACATTACTTAAATCTCAAAGTATACTAAATATAACACAGATAATTTAAAATACCTCTTCTACAACATGTTTCTATGTGGTGTGTCATTTACCTGAACATAATCATTTCTGTCTAGTATTTGACAGATAATTGTATTTCATTTTAGGAAGAAAAAAAGAAACCAATAGTAGGGTTAGGTAATAATATACAAAATATTATTGTTTATGCTTGTTTCATTCCCTTACCCATATACTTGTAGAATTAGAATTCTTGTGATGTTTTTTTTATTATTAGCAGAGACCTGCAAAACATTTGTGGCCAAATTAGTATCCTTACTGGAAGAGTACTTCTTTAAATACAGGATTTCTAGAATAATGTAGAAGAGTTCTAACTGCAGACACTGAAATCTACAAGTCCACTTGTCTTAGGCCTAACATTAGTTAAGCTGTTATCAAGTATGGCCTAATTCAATAGAGAGATAATTTAACACTAACTTGTGTACATTTTTGCTTTAGTTTAGTTAGGGCTAAACTTTACTGTACTTAATACTATCAATAAATAAACTTATAATCTTAACTCACAACTTAATGTTAGACCTATTTAAACCTTTGATAAGCTTTTAATATGTTGTTGTTACATCAACTTTTGTTTACATCCTTTGAAATGAAGTGCATGCTCATATGTGTTTATATGGTAAATTTAATAAACAATTTCATTACAGAAAAAAAACTTAGTATTATTATAATAGATTACCACAATATTATTGTTCATGTTGTTTCGTTCCTTGACACATGTACTTGTAGAGTTAGAATTATTGTGTGGATATATTACGTGTCTGTGTGCATGGTAACAGATCAATTAGATACTGTGTATCTGCGTATGGTAACAGATTAATTAGATACTGTGTATCTGCGTATGGTAACAGATTAATTAGATACTGTGTGTCTGCGTACGGTAACAGATTAATTAGATACTATGTGTCTGCGTACGGTAACAGATTAATTAGATACTATGTGTCTGCGTACGGTAATAGATTAATTAGATGTGTGTCTGTGTATGGTAACAGATTAATTAGATACTGTGTGTCTGCGTATGGTAATAGATTAATTAGATACTATGTGTCTGCGTACGGTAACAGATTAATTAGATACTGTGTGTCTGTTTACGGTAAGAGATTAATTAGATACTGTGTGTCTGTGTATGGTAACAGATTAATTAGATACTGTGTGTCTGTGTATGGTAACAGATTAATTAGATACTATGTGTCTGCGTATGGTAACAGATTAATTAGATACTATGTGTCTGCGTATGGTAACAGATTAATTAGATACTATGTGTCTGTGTATGGTAACAGATTAATTAGATACTGTGTGTCTGTGTATGGTAACAGATTAATTAGATACTATGTGTCTGTGTATGGTAACAGATTAATTAGATACAATGTGTCTGTGTATGGTAACAGATTAATTAGATACTATGTGTCTGCGTAGGTAACAGATTAATTAGATACTATGTGTCTGCGTATGGTAACAGATTAATTAGATACTGTGTGTCTGCGTACGGTAACAGATTAATTAGATATTATGTGTCTGTGTATGGTAACAGATTAATTAGATACTGTGTGTCTGCATATGGTAACAGATTAATTAGATGTGTGTCTGTGTATGGTAACAGATTAATTAGATACTATGTGTCTGCGTACGGTAATAGATTAATTAGATGTGTGTCTGATAGTATCTAATTAATCTGTTACCATACGCAGACACAATTAATCTGTTACCATACAGATACTGTGTGTCTGCGTATGGTAACAGATTAATTAGATACTGTGTGTCTGCGTATGGTAACAGATTAATTAGATACTATGTGTCTGCGTACGGTAACAGATTAATTAGATACTATGTGTCTGTGTATGGTAACAGATTAATTAGATACAATGCGTCTGTGTATGGTAACAGATTAATTAGATGTGTGTCTGCATATGGTAACAGATTAATTAGATACTATGTGTCTGTATGGTAACAGATTAATTAGATACTATGTGTCTGCGTATGGTAACAGATTAATTAGATACTGTGTGTATGTGTATGGTAACAGATTAATTAGATGTTATATGTCTGTGAAGATACATCAGTCAAAGATGTACTTATATTTATTTATTTATATAATGAATAGAAATTGCTTCTGAAAATAACATACACTTAGCAGCTAATTCAATTAAACAAGCATGTTTAAAGAACATCAAATATTATACTATTGTATGCATGGCTACAGTTTACATATAGCCTTATTGCAAAGTAACAATGTTAGTTTTAATCAACATTTTATTGGTACATTAGTCAAAAGCTGAAATAGTTTCAGGACAGCTCATACAAAGTGACAGTAATAATCTATACACATTAAATTATTTTTCATGTACATGACAGTTAAACATACCCGAGAGCCTCGAACAGGAGCACATGGATATCGTACGTCTGGCTGGTTGTTAGCATTTGTAACTCTAGTTGATGACGGGGTGATTGCTCTGCTTGAAGATGCCATGGCCAGATTTAGTTTAACAGAATCAGTTGGGTCCAACAAGCTCTGTATTGAAGGGTAGTTCTGATTAATGAATGTCTGTGTGGGAATTGGTTGGGCTGGATCATATTCAGATAACACAACAGCAACTTGCTGATGAGAGCTATCTACCCCAGTAGGATACTGGTAGGGAGTTGGAGCCATGGGGTAGGTTACTAAAAAAGCAGGGTCTATGTGGGGAGCTGTAATGTTGAAATATATTCTTTATTATAATTTTTACTTCATTTCGACATGAATATCAACCTTTTATATAGTATTGTTTTTTCAAAGAGAGACCTATTATTAGGTCCTTACAGACCTATTATTAGGTCCTTACAGACCTATTATTAGGTCCTTACAGACCTATTATTTCAAATACAAATTATTTGCAAACTAAGTTGAAAACACTTTCTACATGATATGAAAAACAGCACCCTATATGACCTTATAAAAAATTACAGTAATCATCATACTATGTATCCACTTTGGAAACAATCTGGTGTATGAAAGTTATACAAGAGGTTGGTACCTCCCCTATTGATAAAGAAGTTACAATTGATAGGTTTAGAGCTGCTACAATACACTGCCTGGCATCAATTACAATGGTATTTCTGACTGACTTGTACATTGGACCTATTGAATACAACTTCTGATTAATGAAAGCTACCTATGCAGATCAAACTAATGAGATTAGTTAATTAAGTATAATGTTTAAACTGTATTACTTCATCAGCATTACTGTTAATGACATTTTTTTACTGTAAGCTCAATAACAAAACTTTTAAATGTAATGAAGGTAGAAAAGCATATGTTTATTTATTAAAATCATGTAGAAATTTGGTTTAATTTTTCCATATAACTAATAATGTTGCATGATTACAGCACCACACATCTTATAACAAGAAATCAAGTGCATGACTACATCACCACACATATCTTGTAACAACAAATAAAACCCAACAAAGTGCATGACTACAGCACCACACATATCTTGTAATAACAAATAAAACCAAACAAATCAAGTGCATGACTACAGCACCACGCATATCTTGTAACAACAAATAAAACCAAATCAAATCAAGTGCATGACTACAGCACCACGCATGTCTTGTAACAACAAATAAAACCAAACAGATCAAGTGCATGACTACAGCATTACGCATATCTTGTAACAACAAATAAAACCAATCAAATCAAGTGCATGACTACAGCACCACACATATCTTGTAACAACAAATAAAACCAATCAAATCAAGTGCATGACTACAGCACCACGCATATCTTGTAACAACAAATAAAACCAAACAGATCAAGTGCATGACTACAGCACCACGCATATCCTTTCCCTTAACCCCTTAGGGAACAGAGGTATTTCATGACAAGCAGACCTTAAAGTTGGCATTGATTTACACATAAATAAGTAGATCTACTACTTACCATTCGTAAGTTAGTTAAATAATTTATACTTGCATTATAGCGGCAATTATCATTAACTGAAAAAGTGCAAAATAGTAGTTGAAGCATCAAATATGAATTACAGCAGAACTGTAAATGTGGGTCCACATGTTTAACAATGAATTACAGCAGACCTGTAAATGTGGGTCCACATGTTTAACAATGAAATACAACAGACCTGTAAATGTGGGCCCACATGTTTAACAATGGGTTACAGCAGCCCTGTAAATGTGGGTCCACATGTTTAACAATGAATTACAGCAGACCTGTAAATGTGGGCCCACGTGTTTAACAATGGGTTACAGCAGCCCTGTAAATGTGGGCTCACATGTTTGCTAGTAATAAATTTAACCAAGAATCAAGTGCATGACTACAGCATCATATGTATCTTGTAACAATGAATTAAACTAAACAAAATTCCATGACTACAGCACCACACACATACCTTGTGCATATCTTCTGAACCAAACACGACTTGTAATAATGAACTAAACCATACCAATCAAGTGTCTTGTGATCATGAATAAAACCAAACATATCTAATGTGTGACTACAGTACAAAATAATATACAATTTAAAGACAAAAGATAAGATGTGAATCTTTAATAATAACATAACAAATACTTTAGTTTTAGTTCACAAAATCAAAATATTTCACACAAAAAAATAGATATATAGAGACAAATTCAAGATACAGAACAGACATACAGACAAAAACTATCAATACACAAACATACATCATTTGAGGTTTTGCTAATTCCGCAGCAACAGAACAACGAAACTCACATTCAAGATCTGTTTGTGATTCTGGAAAAAAGTTCAAGTTTCCATGTTCATCCAAAATTTCCTGGAGATGTTTACTGTTGGAATATGAAGTTGGATACACTACCAGAACCCCTTTATCATAAGCTTCAGTTGGCGATTCTGGTTGATTGGGACAGACCTGAAAGGATAGGTTGTTTTAGTGTACCTAAAAACTAAACTTTAGTTACATATTAGTTTTGTCCAGGTTTAGGAAAAGTAAATACAATGAATCCATTTTTAATGTACCAATAGTACTGACATGATTTATTTTACCAGTTCCTACTCCCACTTGTGATATATCGTTATCACAAGTGGGAGTAGGAACTGGAGAAAGTTACCGCGTTATCACAAGTGGGAGTAGGAACTGGAGAAAGTTGCCGCGGCAACTTTCTCCAGTTCCTACTCCCACTTGTGATAACGCGGCAACTTTCTCCAGTTCCTACTCCCACTTGTGATAACGCGGCAACTTTCTCCAGTTCCTACTCCCACTTGTGATAACGCGGCAACTTTCTCCAGTTCCTACTCCCAGTTGTGATAACGCGGTAACTTTCTCCAGTTCCTACTCCCAGTTGTGATAACGCGGTAAATTTCTCCAGTTTCTACTCCCAGTTGTGATAACGCGGTAACTTTCTCCAGTTCCTACTCCCAGTTGTGATAATGCGGTAACTTTCTCCAGTTCCTACTCCCAGTTGTGATAATGCGGTTACTTTGTCCAGTTCCTACTCTCAGCAGTGCTAACCCGGATATTTTCTGGCATTTCTACTACTACTACTACTAACCTGGATATTTTCTGGCATGTCTACAACTACTACTACTAACCTGGATATTTTCTGGCATGTCTACTACTACTACTACTACTAACCTGGATATTTTCTGGCATGTCTACTACTACTACTACTAACCTGGATATTTTCTGGCATGTCTACAACTACTACTACTACTAACCTGGATATTTTCTAGCATGTCTACTACTACTACTACTACTACTAACCTGGATATTTTCTAGCATGTCTACTACTACTACTAACCTGGATATTTTCTGGCATGTCTACTACTACTACTAACCTGGATATTTTCTGGCATGTCTACTACTACTACTACTACTAACCTAGATATTTTCTGGCATGTCTACTACTACTACTAACCTGGATATTTTCTGGCATGTCTACTACTACTACTAACCTGGATATTTTCTGGCATGTCTACGACTACTACTACTAACCTGGATATTTTCTGGCATGTCTACTACTACTACTACTACTACTACTAACCTGGATATTTTCTAGCATGTCTACTACTACTACTACTACTACTAACCTGGATATTTTCTGTGGTGGTTACTTCTACTTCCAGTTCTGCTTTTTCATTCTCTTCTCTGATATACTTATCACTATCACAACACTCATACTCCCTACGATTCTCTATAGAAGCTTCACACGAAGGATCAAAGTAGCCAGACTCATTGATTTTTAGCAAAAGCTCTTTCATAAATTTGTCTGGGTGGACTGTTAATAAAACGTTTTCATACTGATTTATTTAGGAAATACTTCAGGTCCTTAAACATCACAGTTAGCAAGAATTCAGGGTAAGAAGAAGTCACTAGAATTGTGAGGATAAACTAGAAAATACTTCAGGTCCTTAAACATCACAGTTAGCAAGAATTCAGGGTAAGAAGAAGTCACTAGAATTGTGAGGATAAACTAGGAAATATTTCAGGTCCTTAAACATCACAGTTAGTAAGAATTCAGGGTAAGAAGAAGTCACTAGAATTGTGAGGATAAACTAGGAAATACTTCAGGTCCTTAAACATCACAGTTAGTAAGAATTCAGGGTAAGAAGAAGTCACTAGAATTGTGAGGATAAACTAGGAAATACTTCAGGTCCTTAAACATCACAGTTAGTGAGAATTCAGGGTAAGAAGAAGTCACTAGAATTGTGAGGATAGACTAGAAAATACTTCAGGTCCTTAAACATCACAGTTAGTAAGAATTCAGGGTAAGAAGCAGTCACTAGAATTATGAGGATAAATTAGGATATTCTTCAGGTCCTTAAACATCACAGTTAGTAAGAATTCAGGGTAAGAAGAAGTCACTAGAATTGTGAGGATAAACTAGGAAATTCTTCAGGTCCTTAAACATCACAGTTAGTAAGAATTCAGGGTAAGAAGAAGTCACTAGAATTGTGAGGATAAACTAGGAAATACTTCAGGTCCTTAAACATCACAGTTAGTAAGAATTCACGGTAAGAAGTCACTAGAATTGTATGGATAAATTCATAGATTATTTTCGTCCTTATTCATCACATTCAACAATAATTATGCTTTATGTAACAAGCATATGTTATTTGGAATGACAATTGATATTTATTTCCTTAAGTTTTAATACAAACTTAGAAGTAAAGATATTTCATAAAAAACAGTTTATAAGCAATACAAAATTACAAAACACATCTTGGACTAAATAATTTTCTAGAAACAAAAATACAAATTTTCTTTAAGGATACAAGTTGTTCCAAGAACTTCTCTGCTTTTCCCTTCAACCAAATTTATCAAGTGTTCTGCAGCCATGTCTAACTGCTCCTCAAATGATGCAACTTCTTCTTTAGTCTCTCTCTTGGGTGATACTAATTTGAAGAGCTCATCCAAGTTCCTCAAGTCCTTTTCACTCAGTTCCTATTGCCAGAACAGTTAACATTCTATACATAGATTTAGTTCAAAGAAAAAAGTTACATAAATAAAAATAGTTTATTTCACCTACAAACAAGGCTAACAGATAACAGAGAATTTAAGTGATCATTCACATAAAACATGTAAATAAACAGCAACATCCAGAGAAAATACAGCACGTCATAAAGTACAGGAGTCTTCCTTAATATCTACATATACAAACACACACACTAAAGTCCTTCCTCTACCACCTCTAACTCTGGCTAATGGGGGAGAACTGTTTCTGTAAACCACACACAAAGCAATCTTCTTTGATACCTACACATATCAAAGACAATACTGGTAAAGAACAATAACAGTTGATAAACTGTGATAATTCTATAATGAGATTTATTTACTTTCACTACTTACAAGTGCTTTATTAGAACCTAACAGAAAGTCTTTCCGAACATTTTCAGTGCCCATTCTGTTTAATATATCTTGCACGAGAAGAACGTCTTTCAAAATTCTGAGATCCTCTTGATGTTTCTCAATCTGTTCTTTTTTTGCCACTTTCTTTTGATGTTTAGTAGCCTACAAACAAATCATACAATACTGTCATCAGGTCTTCATTAAAACACTATCAGGAATGTGTTCTATATAACCTGAGTCATCTGTCAAAACAGTTTTACACTGTACAATGCTGTCATCAGGTCTTCATTAAAACACTGTCAGGAATGTGTTTTATTTAACCTGACTCATTTGTCAAAACAGTTTTACACTGTACAATACTGTCATCAGGTCTTGATTAAAACACTATCAGGAATGTGTTCTATTTAACCTGAGTCATCTGTCAAAACAGTTTTACACTGTACAATGCTGTCATCAGGTCTTCATTAAAACACTGTCAGGAATGTGTTTTATTTAACCTGACTCATTTGTCAAAACAGTTTTACACTGTACAATATTGTCATCAGGTCTTCATTAAAACACTATCAGGAATGTGTTCTATTTAACCTGACTCATCTGTCAAACCAGTTTTACACTGTACAATATTATCATCAGGTCTTCATTAAAACACTATCAGGAATGTGTTCTATTTAACCTGACTCATCTGTCAAACCAGTTTTACACTGTACAATATTATCATCAGGTCTTCATTAAAACACTA